TGCAGTCTCACCTCTGAGACTGCCTTTCTCTTCTATGCAACTAATGCATATTTGAATAAATTTCAGTAACTTTAGAACTGTTGAGAAAATTGGAGCATTATATGAAGAATCAGGTTCCCTGCAAGGGAGATGCTGTCCCCACGGAAATAAACAGCACAACTCCTATTGAGACTCACAGGGTTAAGACTCCTTTATAGAAATACTGACAACAGTTTTCCTGACTTAATCCAGCCCAGCAGCAGTACCTGAATGATGCCTGAAGGTGATCCTAGCACATCCCAGCCAGCACTCATGTACATGTTTACATTTTGTTCAATTGGTGGATTTCAAGCACAGGCTTAAATATTTTACTCACTAGGAAAATAGTTATTGGGATGGGTTCAAGTTTTTGTAAGGAGGTGCTTTTGGGGCTTGGAGCCCAAACTACTAACTGTTGGTGAACTCAGAAGCTGATATAGTTATTGGGATGGTTTCAAGTTTTTGTAAGGGGGTGCTTTTGGGGCTTGGAGCCCAAACCACTAACTGTTGGTGAACTCAGAAGCTGAAAGTTTTAACCAAAATCTGAGGGTCTCTGGGATATGAGGCTCCTTTCCACATTGTTTTCAGCTTTTGAGCATGAAAGAATATAATTCCTAACAAGTCATTATTCCTTGACAAATGAAAAATGGGACTGAGTGTGAAACTCAAGCATGACCTTATAAGATCCCTAAGTCTCAACTGTAAACATCTTTGAACATACCTCTTTCTCATGCCTCCTGTCCTTTGGCCACGACAATCTCGACAAAGGTGAAGTTATAGTACAAGGACACCCCTCCTAAAGTGTTTGGGAAGAAGATTAGGCCTGGTCACAGCATCTATTGTCAGAGCTCTGACAAAGGACACATGGATTTGCAAAGCCCTCACAGTGCTGTGCCATCGCTAAGAAATAACAGCAGTATTGCACAGGTCATGCTGTGGATGAGGAGAAATAGAAGAAACCATGCACATTGCTCCTTCAGGCAGATGACAGTCCCTAATTTAGTTTACTAATTTGGAGCCAGAATGTCTGATAGTGCATCTTCAAGAATTCCTGGGTCCTAGAAGGTTTTTAAAATGTGGCATGAAGACCAGCTATGGACCAAGATTTAATTTTACATTCTCCAATTAACTCGAGGTTTGGGGACTTGTTTGGACTATTATTATGGGAAAACACTACAATGTGTATTTGTATATGTTCCACCAAATGTGTTTCATAACATCTGTTTGGCACTCAGCAAGGAAAATGTTCTGTAATCTCAACCAGCAGTATGTGCTGGGCAGATGAGACTGTGTGCAGCACAAGGTTCAAAAAGCTAGTTTTTGCTCTACTCAGAAACAGAACTGACAGTCAGTTCTTTGAACTTGTTTCATGAGCCTCTCTGTTGAAAAGTAAATCTGTTGACAAGCTTCTGAATTGCTGTGAAGGGTCTCACAGACCTCTTGCAGAAGCATGCAGTATAATTCTGAAGTGCAGTGGGAGTCTTCATTTAGCTTCCCTCTCTTTTCTTTCTGACTGCTGTCATCTACCCCTCCCTCTCTACTAACTTCTCTACATTACCATTCAGCCTCTTAAGGCTCCTCCGCTAAGAAATGTTCATAAAGCAAATATATGCAATTACCAAAAATAAATGATTTGGGGACTTGAGCTGCTCTGAAGTGTGTCTTGTTACACAGATGCCTACTGACTGCTTTTGTTCTGGAGAGAAAAATTATAAATGGTGCAGCAGTGTTCAAGTTCACTTGGGTCTGTGTGGTCTGTCTAATTCAGTTCTCTTTGATGTTTGCTGTGCTCATTTATGATACTGCTCCCCTAAGCCCATGCATCTCAAGGTCATCTGGCTTGCACTGTATCTTTAGAAGGAAATGCAATTGATTGTCTCTGGAGCAGGGCTCTGTGGAGTGACCCAGCCCTTTTCTATTACATCCATTTTCTTAATCCTGGGGGTAATTCACACGATGTATCCACACTGAGAGATGCGCTAGTGTTTAATGCACAGAGGAATTCAGTATGTGGTTTTCTCATCACAATGGGGAGGAAGGTCTTTTAACACAGCCATTGAGGGTCTTTCCATGGCAGTCTGCCTGGCACAAGACAGTGGTTCCATCAGGATTTGTTGTAGCTTGGTGTGTAACCTTATTATCCAGGGCTTAACTGAAAATATTATGTGTTTTACTCACTAATGCATACAAAATGCATATCAACTTGTGAACCACCTACCAGAGCCCTACAGACGTAATTTATTTGTAAACATGTTAGTATTTGTAAACCATGTGTGGCAATGTATGGTTTGTACCTAGGAGGAATCATGAAATGCATGAGAGGCACTTTTTGCCCTAGTTAGTGAGCATTTGCCTGTCCATAAGGGTGTAGATTCCTAAGGAGTCCAAGCCCAAGGGCAAGACCCATTTTGGAAAAGCCATCCATAGTAACCTGCACAGTGCCCTGTAAGCATTCAACTTCTGGCATTCAACTCATAGCAAAAAAAACCCCAAAAACTGGGCTAGGGGAGTAGTGAGAAGCTTGGGAATTTCCAAGTGCTCAAACGATGTTGCTGATGCTGTTTGAGGTGACCTAAGACCTCTAGGACCAAGCTGGGGTGTTTGTGGTGCCTGAGAGGGTGCATGATGGAAGGCCCTAGAAAAGAAGCTTGCAAAGCAGCTGTGAGAAAATGTGTGTTATACTGACTCTGAGACCTAGGCATTGGGTAATTGGTGCCAAACAAATGCCAAGGGACAGGGTTTGTGTAGGGGCTTGCATGGTGCATTTAGTGGAATAGTTAGTTAAACCCAGACGTACACATAGGTGTTAAGTTTGGGGAAGGACTTGTAGGGGAGAAAAGAGTAATATGAGACCTTTAGCAAGTGGCAGTCTTTTCAGTCTGTATGATCTATTTGTAAGAAAATACAGAAAACAGGAATTCTGGTTTGGCTTTTCAAATCCACTTCAGGGTAGAATCAGGTGTATGATGTTTGGACACAAGAGACTTGAAGCACTGGTAGCATTGTTGAGAGAGGAGAAAGCAGGTAATTCTACGTGGAACACTAGGAAAGAAAATCTTGTGAGAAGGGATGTAAGTAAATTGGCCTGTGTGTGGAAGAGCAGGAAATGCTGTCAGAAAAAGGTCTTTCCATAATGGGCTTTTTAGCTAGTATAGAGTTGACGTGGAATAGTTTATCTTTTGAGTGATTTGCATTGCCCCACCCATCCCCACATATTTCTAAGTGTTTCATTATAATCCTATCAATCTTGCTCAGGGTAGGAAATGTATTGAAAAAGGCATTAAATCTTTACCAGGGTTACTGTTGTTTTTATTTTAGTCTGAAAATAGTTGTGTTGTTTATTTTCCATGGTGAAGAATTGCTATGGTAGAGATTAATGGAAAACACAGAGTTACTCATTTAGCACTGCGAAGAATGTTTTGTACTAATCTACAGTGATCCCAGGCACTCTTTTAACAATTGACTTCAGAAATAGTTATCATGAGTCTATTTTTTACCAATAAGAGGTCAAGTCACACCAATGGCCTTATTAGTGTGTACAGCCTGCTCATTAAAGAAGTAAGTGGGACCTGTGGGTATGCCTTGCCTTCAGTTCTTAAGCAGACAAAAGAAGTGAGTCTTTTAAAATATCACAGTCAGTGGGTAGAGATCATGGTTTCTTGCTCGAACCGTTGAATATACTTATTCCCTGCTAGTAAGTACATTGTTTTGGAATGCCTCACACTTTTCACTTCTTGTGCAACTACAGTGCTAACAAGACGAATGGCTCCTCTTCAGCCTTCATTTCCTCTTCACTGCTGTACACTTCCTCTAATGCCACAGCCAAAAGAAGGAGCTGTTCCGTTTCAAAAGGAAAACATAAGCTTTGACCTGAACTTTCTGACCTTTGAGGACAAGGAGTGTCCCCTGAATGGCCTTACTATTTCGGTTGTTGTTTACAAATGCTTCAAGAATGTGGGTCTCCTAAAAGAGAATTTTTTTCAACAGCCACTAGCCTGCAGGTTACAGTCAGTGAACATGGAAATTATAAGCCTCTCTAATCAATTTCAATTCTTCCTCCAGCTAGAAGACAGAGGTCATCTGCTTTCAAAAAAGCCTACTATGCTGAAAAGCCAAAGAAGGTCTTAGTAAGCTGTCTGCAGAAATTCCTGCAAGTGGTCCCAGTATACATCCCAGTATACATGCTGGCCTGCCAGGGAACTAGAAGTGTCCTGGAACTACTCTAGAGATGAGCAGTTTGCTTGTGTGGTCATGTCATGTGTGTTTTGGGTTTGAGTTCAGGCTTTGGGCTCTGAGATCATAGATTCACATAGACACATCACTGCTCTTCTGTTTCCACTCTGTTGTACTGAAAATCACAAACTCCCACAGGGCTGAGGAGCCACGAGGCCAGCACAATGGAACCACAGTTCTTCTTTAAGACCTAGACAAGCTAGTGCAATAGATAGATACCAGCATCAGCAGAGAGCTCAGGACAATTCGTACCTGTTCCTCAAGAAAGACATGTCTGAAATAACATTAGTCAGCTTTCCCATGTTAAGCAAATGTGTTTCTCTGTCTCTGGAAGATGGTTCTGGAGATTGAACTGTGAGGTTGTATTTGGTGAGTTATAAACAAAATAAAATTGCATCACTCACCCTCCCCCCAACAGTTAAATACCTTTAAAAAAAAAAAAGGAAAAAAGAGGGAAGGGCAATTGTGTTGCCCAGACATGTATGTTTCCACGACATCTGAGTTCACCTCCTGGATTTGGATCTCTGCTATTGGTTATCTCTGAGAAACTAGCATAGGATCGCATCAGTTTCATAATGTCTTGTGTGGCAGGTTGAGTTAAGAAAACAGATAAGTACTTAAAGCCCCATAACTCCTGGAAAATGTAATTGTTGCCAGGACAATGTCACCATGACAGAGAGCAGCCACAGCTCCAGACAGACCTTCTGGCATTTGGGCTGCTGGCTGTTTGGAGATGGGAAACAGTCATAAACAGTCTGTGCAGACTTGGGTCTGCTCTGTGACATGTGTTTGCTTTTGGGAGTATGGAGTCAAGCTTTCATTTCCCGGCAATGAGAAAAATCTGTGCTCTAATGGGACCACTTAATGACACTGTCTCTGCATCTGTGATGGATTTGCTTCCTTTATGGTGCAAATCAGCACACAGTTTATTTTACTATGATAGCATTCCCTAGCCAGGTAAAGTAATGGGAGCTTTTCTGCTTCCTGTGAGGAATGTTAATTATTCCCAGTATGTAAAAAATGTGCAGAATCCATGACAAGTCTTGGCATGATGAGGAAAGAAAAAAGTACTTGTAAAAAAAAATTTACAAAGCAAGTGCAGAACTATGAGACTGGAAAAGATTAGTAAATTTATTTTCAGTATGAGTTTACTGTATAGGTAAACTGGGAATTAATGGTGAGAAGATGAGCTGTGAAACAGATCTGCTGGGTTCTAAGAGTGGGGATATAGATGCTACCAAATAAAGTCCTTATGCATGTATTTGAGTTTAACCATTCTCATGCTCTTAAGCAAAGTGTTTAAGTGTGGGTTTCAGTCAGTGTGATGATGTCATGAATTAGTATTCCAATAAGCATCAGCAGGTCTCAATAAACACAGAAATGTTCCAGCTGTAAAAACCATGTCAAATTCTAACAAACCATTTGCATGGCTCATACACATAAGGAAAACCTGTCTTTATTCATTGTAAGGAAGGCCAGCTCACTTCAGGAGAAATGTAGGCCTGAAGTAGAAGAGCCAAGAGAAACCATGTGTAAGGATCAGCTGTGTCACTGTTTTTATGTTTGCCAGACAGCCCTGTATCAAGACAGCTGGAAGAGGAAGGAATCAAATACCCAAGGTGAGAGCTAATTTAAAACAAAAGGGTTGTTACACCTCAGTATTGTCAGTTTTCTTAAAAATGCCTTTCTGCCCATATTTGGTTTCATAATGAAGGATTCATTGCACATTAAAATTCAAGGCTGCTGAGAAATTCTGCAGTGTGGATTGCCTTGAATATGGATTTTCCTGTGTCATGCATGATCCACAAGGCACCACCATCACTGCATATTTTCTTGGTATTACTTTTCCACATAGTCATATACTAATAGATGCCTTTGCATGAAAACTAGCTGCTTCGAACAAGAAATAGGAGTCAGCAGCATATTAATAGCCATTTCTCCACAGTTAGTTCATTGACAGCTAGCTTCTAGAATGGAATAAATACCATTATAGTTTGGGACATAAACTGCAATAAATAATTGCAGTTATACTACATACACACATTTTTGCTGTGTCTTATATGCATATACATTTTGAGGTCTTACTCATGGTAGCCCAGAACTGCTTTGCAGATTGTTTGGAAAATACATTCCCTCTGTCAAACACATCTTAAACAGAGTGGAAGATACAGACCAGAAGAGTGATGTGTGAACAAGGTTTTGTGACCATAATTTGGAAATGCCAATAGAAATGAAATTGTAAGTGAGACCTCCTGGGCTTAGGGAATGGGAAGTCCAAAGCATGGGGTTTCACACTACCCCATTGCAGTTCACCTTGATTATACGTTAGTATAACAACTAGTACTTGCCCAGAGTACTAGTATACTGTCTAGGCAGGGTAAAGGGAATAAAACAAAAAAGAAACCATTCCCAGCAGCCAATAGAAAAGAGACCACTCTTTTGGAGGGGAGTTTATCTGCATGATGTGGGTCCTCCTGTAAAAAACCCTTCGATGTGGGACCTCAGGATAACTCTGGTGGAAAGTGACCTCAAAAAGTCTCTGCTACAGCCCTCTGCTCAAAGCAGGGTTAACTACAAGATCAACCAGACTTCTCAGACCTTTATGCAGTTCAGTGTTGAAAACATCCCTGTAGAGGAAAAGGTTTTCTTTATATTCCTCTGGACAGCAGTCCTGCCCTCAAGCATATCAGCTGTTCCCCCCAGTTTGGTGTCATATGCAAACTTGGCGAGCATGTGCTCTGTTGCCTCCTCAAGGTCATTGACAGAAATGTTAAGCAGGATGGGTCCCAGGGTAGGCCATTAGTTACAGTTCTCTGCTCCTAATGGACACCCAGGCAGAGTATCACCCTTTCACCACTACCCTCTGAACCTGTTGAACCACCATATTTTAACCCACCTAGTTGTCTATCATCTAGATCATAATATCCTAGTTTGAATAACTCTATGTGGAAAGATCTTATGTATTCCTTCCTAACTCTAAAGGCAGAATGAGATCTTGAAAGGGGTATGTCATAAGGAGACACTTCAAGAGAGTAAGGTCAAACAGGACTCTCAAGTAGGAGAAACTATGAGAGACTGTCCAGGCTGAGAGTGGATATAGGAGTGTCAAGATAGACCAGTAGCTTGAACAGAACAAAGGGGGCTCCAGGTAGAATGACTGAGTCTGGTAATACAGGGTACAAAATGGTTTTGTAATTAACCCATAATCACAAATTATGCACCAGAAGCTTTCCACATGCAGGTGACAGGACTTCCCAAAGGTTTTACAGCTCCCCCCTCCCAGAAGAATGTGAGCACATGGGATTTCTACCCTGCCTAGAGAGTGAAATGCTTCACCTGCCTTTGAAATGCCTTTTCTGCATGGAACTGCAGCCAAACTGCATAAGGCATTCTTTTTCAAGCATAAAAATGGAATGTTGGAAATAGAAGGACAGTATAGGAGTCCGTGTGCAGCTGAGATGGAAACTCAAGACTTCAGTAACCCCAAACATTTACATTAGGATTTGCCTTACTCTGAATGCCAATTTGCAAGGCAGAGACAAAACTGTTCCCAGTTGTCAAGACAACGTCTGAGGGAAGCAGAACTGTCAACAACAACAAAAGAAGTCAGAGAAGATTTCTGTTGTCTCTCTGAAAATAGATGCACTATTAGAAGAGTAAGAGGGATTGGAGAAACTGCTTAAAAGTCAGAGTCAGTTTCCCTCAGAGAGAAGAGCCTGAGCAGGTATGTAAATCAACCCTCAGGAAGAGAACATCCATAGGCAGTGTCAGCTGGAAAGGGGGCAGGGGAACGTTCAAAAGAATATTCAAAGACTTTGTTACAGAGTTCCTGTAATTTAAAGCTGAAAAAAAAAAAACAAACAAACCCAGAAAACCTTTTTTTTTCCCCTTCTGACTGCAAGGAGCTTAAAAAAAAAAAAAAAACACAAACCCAGAAAACCTTTTTTTTTCCCCTTCTGACTGCAAGGAGACCGAAGGATGAAAAGCAAGGCACTGCTGTTGTGTTTGGCTGGTAGGCAGCCAGTCAAGTAAGACCAACAGGCATGTAAACAGTTTGTATGTATCTCAATGGGAAATTTACTTCAAAGCTGAGGTCTAGAAATGAAGATTCAAGCACAGATTTCTCCTCTCATAATTTTCTTTTTTTAATTATTAGTCTTCTTTTTATCAGTGAGGATAGCTGACTTTAACCTGCATGTAACCCTGGAACATGAAATTATGAGTTGTTAGTCAGAATAGACAGGAGCAATATGAGCTTCCTCTACACACTCTGTTACTATCTTCAGTCTCAGTTTAGAGAAACATCACTTGGAGACACACGGAAGCTTGGGATATGTACCTTATTTCACCATAGTCTCTGTGAAGTTGCCAGCACCAGTTGTGATACTGCATTGAGATGACACCACCTTTTTTTCTTTTGGGTTTATGATCAGTAGGCTGTTTTGACTTTGGTCTTCAAACAGCCTTGGGAGGGGAAGCAAGTTATATGCACTACAAATATTTTTTTCCTGAGGTAACTGATGTAAGTTCACTCCTGTAAGTCATTGTGGCACAAATGCATAGTGCAGAGATGCTCCTACTTCTGCAAATGTGCTGGATTTATAGTGGGAAAATGCTGTTTCACTTCAGAGACTTCTGTCATGGTTTCCAGCAAAGCTATGCTGCTGCTGATACCCAGACCTGTTCATTGAGGGCCAGCTACAGCATTGTGCTATCCAGTGCAACTGTGCCCCCATTCTCTTCCCTTAGGTGTGGACCTGTAAGAATCCTGTTGCAGACTGGAAATAATATGCATAGACTCAACCAGGCCAGTTAACTCTTTTTCAGACAAGGTTTTTGACAGGCCAAGCAGCCAAAGATATTTATAGGGAGTCTTGGGGAAAAGAGGCTAACAAGTTTGGTTTCTGCTTGAACTCACCAGCATGAGTATGGGCATCTCCGGCTATAGCGGCAGCAGTAAAATTGCCATTCACGGTCCAGCACAGATGGAAAATACTGACTCTGGAATCCAGCCACCAGCCCATTGTTTGAGCAGGTCTGATACCTAATAATGAGGAGAAAGAAGAAAACACACAAGGAAAACATGATATTAGGTTCTTTGATAATTTCAAGCATTTTTGAAAACAGCATTAAACATTTCGATACAGCGTGGAAGCTACAGGTTTGGCTTTGTGCTGAGAAGCACTGTATGCACTTGCTGTGTATTGAGTAACTATTTTGTATAAGAAGGCAGCAATAGTTAACTAATGTCTTAACATTTATGTTGCACTTAAAACTATTTAAACTTGTTTAAAATATTTAATCATTCTAGTATGCTAAACAGGCAAGAAGCTTGTTCTGGTGTTGATATTATCAACTGTTTACAAATTATGAGACTGACTGCAAAGTAGTCCATTAATACTTTTATCTTTGACTGTTGGTATTTCAGGGTTTGGGCTTTACTGAAGTAATCTTTTTAACTCCTTCACTAGGGAAAAAGAAAAAGCCTTAGAAGCTATTTTATAAGAGAAATCCATTAACTTTGGTATTTTCTCTTTCTCAATTACCTGTGTCCAGGAGAAAGGACTCTTAATTACAAGTGTCTCTGCTTGTGATAAAATCACATAAGGAAAGCTGAGACTCATATTTAATTAAATTCTAAGACATAAATTTTATGACTGGATTTTCAAAAGAATAATCTGCTGCTTCATGCTTTCTGTGTACTTGGGAATTCTGTCATTCATGTGAATCACTGCCTTCAAGTAGAACAGACATGGTTTCAAAGCTTGCAGGTATATCCTTCTCTTTCTGCACATCCTACAAGCACCTGGACACAGCTACTCAAAGTAATTGAAGTGATAATCAGTTTGAATAGCTTGCTTCTATTAGGCTAAAGACAAGGAGAACTGAAATCAGACAGATCATTAACTTGGCTACTGAGTGCTTGTTCTCTAAAACACCTTCCTAGCCTAATTGTTTCACTATTGGGAAAATTACAGGAATTCCATTCTTTACAGTTTCTTCCATTGCCCTTCCTTTTCTTTCTACTTTCTTCATCAAGGAAAACTGGCAGTCTAGACCTGCAGCAAACCTTCTTTGGGATACCATAAAATCAATTACAATGATATATCCAAAAGACACTTTCAGAAGTAGCTATGATTAACAAATACCAAAAAATTTCCATAGTTTCATTCAGTGACCTCAGAGTTTATTCTAATGAGCCTCTGAATTTCCCAGAAGGGAAAACACACCATCTAGCAGAGTTTGGTGTTTGAAAAGTAATTAGCTTGTTCATACAGGTGCTACTGCTCGCAAAGAAAGCACGAGGCTCAAGTGTTTGTATGTAAAAGCTGAAAAACTGATCAATTTTTACCAGAGCAGGGATGAATTCCTCTGCCTAACTTTCAGACTCCACCTTTGAACCCAGGGGTCTCTTGCCTATGGTCCTTCCACTGTGTTCTGTTGTTCAGACAAGAGTATTTAGATTTGTTTGCATCCCTTCCTCTCCCATGTTGCTGGGGCCAATCTTACTTGCTATGCTTTGTGAGACTCTGTCAAGGACCTTCAGAGATAAGTAGCGATGGGGACTCTGAGTTGCTATGGTATCACACTAAGTAAGGCAGTGTAGTTCTCACTCAGAGGGTTTCTATGATAGGAAGTTGCTCTGATTTTTGGCACATAGGCCATAGGAACATATGGCTAAGACTCTGTGTAAACATATTGGATAGCTGCAGATGATTGGTGTTACCCTGCTGGAAGAATGGTTGATACACAGAAATATGGGGATTGGTTGTACCTGTTGCAAGTTGAGCATTAAACGATGTAAAATAGAACCAAACATGTGCCTCTTCATCTTCTTCTGCCTTTCTCCCTTCCCAGTTACATACATTTGCACTACTTAAGTCCTTGTGCCCCTAAGAGATTTTCTAGCTCTTTTGCACATGTGCACTAACAGGAGCATTTTGTTTTTCCATTTTCTTTGCACTTTCTCTCAGAGGCTTCGCATTGACATGCCATTGCCCATCCCCACTGACCAGCATCGGATATTCCTGCCCAAACTTGTCTTTGAGGGAGGTTTTCCTTCTTTTCTCTTCCCACCTGCTTACATTCAGACTGGGAAGTCCTGCTCTCTTGCCCACTGTTTTGTCCTACAACCGTTTTTATTTTATTGTCACCTCTACTAATAGAATTTTGATCGAAAGTTTCATTTTGAGAGCAATGTCACTGATGGACCCTTCTCTTTATAGTGAACTGAAAACCAAACCTAGGTAGCATAACAATAATTAAAAGTAAAATTTGAAACAGACATTTAAGATCATGTACACTTCTCTCTCTCTCTGCTTCTGTCTCATACACAAAGTCCTGCAATCTCTTATTCAAGCTTGATATTGGGTTTGGTGACAGAAAGATAATGGCAACATTGAAGTACTTTTCTCTACCTTTGAGATAGCATAAGATTTTTCTAATTTTCAAGTAAAATCCATATATTCCTTAGAAAATGAAGAGATGCTCTCAGAAATTGGAGTGCTTATTTGTGAGCTTATATAAAATATTTTCTTCTCTTTCCTTTTCCCCGTTGGCCTCTTTCATACAAGCAGAAAGTAATTCTTCAAGAGGAACAAACAACCCCTTCACACACACCTTTTTAGTCAGATGGTCTATGCATTAATCTGAAAACAGCACTTAATATGCTGGAATTCTTTCCTTCTCTGTTGAGTTCACTAGTCTTGCCACAGAAAATCCTGCAAGCCAGTAGGGTGAATAAAAACTAGTGATTCAGGAACTTTGATTTATGGCCAAGTAAAAAAATTGCCTTTTTCACTAGACCCACTCTGTTGTACTTTTGTTACAAAGGATTGTTCAGTATTCAGAGTTAATGTCACTGGGTTCTCCTCAGTAATGAAATCCTGACATTGCTAAGAAGAGAGGAAGATACCTCTTAGAAGGTGAACACAGAAGAGCGTAAGGATCCAGCTGGGACTGTGTGGGATTAAACTTGGCAATGGATAGGTTGCTTTGTTTTTGTAGTTGGCTTAAGTTGTGATGCATGAAGACTTGCTTTTTGGATCTGGTAGTGGGAGAAGAGGAGGTGAACTGGCTGGTAGGTGGGGGAGTGGGAAGATTGGGGGGCAGTTCAGGTGCTCTCGAATGGGAAGTCGCCCTTCCCTTGTGTACAGCTGTTGGAAATGACTGCAGTGTTTCATAGAAAGCAAGTAAACTCTACAGCCTTATTTTGGGAGGAGTTCTGTGTAGTAAAAGGGATACGGTATCTGAGACTTTCCTGGCCTGCTGTAATTTCTGTGAAAAGCCTCTCCTCTGCCAAATCTTTTGAACTGGGTAATGAGTGTTGTACAGCTGAGTTCTGTCATGGCAAGCAGCCAAAGCATGCATCCGTGTTAGTGGTTTAGTTCAGATCAGGACTGCCTTTGTCATTCGCCAATGAGCTTTTATCTGTGAGACCAAACTAGAGCTGGTTTGAAACAAACCCAGTCAAAATGCATACGTGGATTTGGTTCCATGCATGACCTGTTTCATCCTAGAGATCCACTTAAATCGTGTCACGTTGTTTGTGAACATCGATATAGCCTCAGTGACCAAGCACGTTCCTCATTGACTCAACAGTTGCCTGCCAGACTGAAGACAAATATTGTTTGCAACAGTATAATTGTTTTAAGCGATGACATCACTTGTGGTGACACTTCATAATTATGCCTGCATTTTATTTTTGCTCTTTACTAGCAAAGCCCCAGGCTGTTGTGCCCCATCTAATGCTGCTGCTGTGTGGTGAACCTTTCTCTGATGTCCTCTGTCCCTCAGATGCACCAGCAGTATGTTATCCTGAGTATGACAACCCAAAGAGGAAGCCTGTTCACTACACATCTGCCCAGGGAAACCCAAGTCAAGATGCAGCAAGTGGTGCCTCCATTGAGCCCTGGCTGTCCTGATTGGGATAGCTGTCCCTGAAGCTCTCCAAGTCTGACACACATGGGTCATGCTGCATTGAGGGTGATTTGTTCCTTATAACAGGGTAACCCGAGAGTGTCATTCCACATCCCTGTGGAGGGGAAGCCCTGTGCTGCTCTCCTGAGTTGTTTTTGTGGAGTGTCCTTCTGTGTAATTTGGTTAGTTGTATGATGAAACCTAATTTAACAGTCAGTTTGTTACAGCTGAATGGGGAGACATAAGTGGCTTAGGGCAGGCTCAGGACACTTGCAATGATGGCACTCAGAGTGAGCAACTTTTCTTTGTTTGATTAGGCCATGCCAGTCTCCAATGGCCACTTCTATGAGGAGACTTTGCTATCTGTTGTAGGGTGGTGATACATGTTGTCATGACTTCCACATGACAAAGGCAACCTCTCTATCATCTTCAGCTATCTTTTTCTTTCCTTTAAGGGCCAGTCCTGACTTACTTTCTTCTCCTTGCCCTATGGGAAAGTAAGGCCTATTCACCCTGTTGTTTTCTTCTTGATAGTCACTGATCAGTGCTCCTTATCTACAGAAACACTCCCCTTCTCCTTAGATGCTCCCACTGGACTCTGTCCATTGCAGCTGTGCTAAAACCTTGTAGCACTAGTCCTCTAACGTAAACCTAGGGCTCTGAAGAAAATTAACTTGTTTGTGTAGACAGTACAAATGGGAATATTTTTAAAGGGCAGCTGGATAATTACATTTCAGATTTGAAATTTGGAATTTGTCAGAGATTGGAAACAAAAACAATTCCTTGCAAATGTATTGGGGTGTGCTACCAATGCCTGAACAGGGGGCTCCTACAGACACTTTCTTTGCTCGTTAGTCTGTCTTTGCACCTAGTTCATGGAGGCTCCTACAGACACTTCCTTTGCTCATTAGTCTGTCTTTGCACCTAGTTCATGGGAAATAGGGTTGTGTGCCTACTTGAAGCATCTGTGTGTGTGTGTGTGTGTATGTTAGTGCACTTAAAGAGAAGGCAAAGGAGAGTGAGAATGGGAGTGCAGAAGCCAAACCTAGATATCTGTTTTTACCAAGTTCCATTAAACTCTCTCTCAGAAGTCTAAACAAGGAAAAGAGTCAATAAACACGGATTAAATAGAACTTGGCTGGAAATGATTCTGCATTGTGCCTTATGGGTAACTGGGAGTATATTGGTGATATGGCATGGTTTCATCTCTATTATGTGGTGTAAAACAAACATTTTTTCCTGGAACAAAAAGCTGCTTGTCTTCATTTGCAAGCTTTTGTTCATTTGTTTGTGTGATCCCTGTCCTTTGGTATGATAATTTTCAGGCAAGAAAAACAGTTTTTCTTAAGTACCCTGTTCAAAGACTGGTCTATAGAGACAACTGTAGTATTCAACGAAGAAATGAAGAACAGTTTCACCTCCAATCACTCAGACATTAGGCAGGGAAATATTTATACAAGGTCAAACTTTCTCCAGTATAAATGGAGCTATGAACATAAGCTTTGTGCTGCATGAAAAGACAGGATTCCTTGATGACGCAGCATACAAATAATGAGGACTGCAGAATCAGGGCATGCTCTGAAGACTTTTCCCTACTTCAGACATGGATATTTCCAAATTATCCAGGAATTGATTCTGCTCCCAGTATTGAGTAGCATCTTGGTTAGCAGATAGCCTCTGCAGCAGTAAGGTGTTGGGACAGATTCAACAAAGCCTTTGTACATGTACTTAAGTTTAAAAGTATTCACAGTTTAATGAAGCTGAGAAGGCATCCCTGGTCATCTGATCCAATCTGTCTCCAAAATGTTCCCTGCAAGTCTTGCAACATATTCACAAGTTGCTCATGTCCATTCACCAAAGCACAAAAGCCCATAATGTCTTCAAAAGTATATACACATATATGCTTAACTTCAGGGATACATTTGTTGAGGGAAGCACCTTGAGTTAGATGTGTTCTGAAATGTCAGCAGGTAGTTCTAGGTAACTGTCAGAGGTGATTGGTCTTCATGAGTCTGCTTGTGGAGAGAGATGGGGTGCCCCAGAGAGTAGATTTAGAGTACTTGTTTATCTCCATTGGCCCTGGAAGGAAGGAGAAGTCATAAACTAGGCCTAATGTGGATCTGTGTCACTGTCCTCTTTCTGTTGAATAGGTTCTTTTCATGTTTGAAAGATTCAGAGGCTTGTTATTTAATTCTCCAGGTCTATATAATACCTCATGTTAGTGTAGGAAGCAAACTTCCAGGAAGCTCTGCCAGTGATACCCTCTTGTCTCCCACCTCTCTTATCCCTATGTTCCCCACATCCATTGCTGCCATTTCCCCCTCAAGTACTAAAGGTCAAAGAAAATAATGAGTTGGACAGTCTTTCTTAACTGTTTTATATTACCACTTCATTTTCTTTCCTAAGCTTTTCTTGGTTTGTTGTATTTTCTACAGAACCTTCTCTTGGGTTTGTCTCTGTTGCACAGCTGCACAACAGTCAGGAATGGTGATTTGTGAAATGTCATAAACATAAAGGACATTTTTTTGCTGTTTCTGCCAGACTAGAATTTCTGGGACATGGCTGAGGGAACTGGAGGAGATTGAGAGAATAGCTGTAGGTATGATCACTGCTTGCTTAGGAGTGTCAGAATATAAAATTTCCAGAGGAGATCTAGAAGAATGGAGACATGTTCAGCCTGAAAGTAAAAGCATGGGTGAAAGTGTGTGGGTGAGAGAAAGGCATAGCTGCTACCTATTATTAAATTAAGGAGATTTTGTAAAGGATGCAGTGTACTTTTTCTCATTACTCTGTGAAGGTAGGGCAAGGAATAAAAAGCTGCAATTACTGCAGAGGAAATGGAGTTTAAATTTTTAGCAAAAACTTGGCAGATATGTAGTTATTGGTGGTACAAGCTATTGAATCTCCCTGGATGTGATGTGCAAGGTGAGACAAAATACTCTGTGAGACAGAGCTGAAGAAGGAATATTACAGTCCATTCTACATGGATGACAATGAACCGGCAAGTCAAGCAGAATGCTGTGTCAGTTGACATGAAAATGATGTATTGCTCACTAACAGATTGGTTTGTTGGGAGATCATCAGGGAAGAGAGCTGGCCAAACAGGAACTAGTGGTACAGATGGTAACTCATATTTGTGGTTCCACTTGATTACTGAGTGAATCTCTTTTGAATTGGGGATGGCTCCAAATAGCACTGAGCTGGGTGTGGAATAGAAGAGAAGCAGCTATGAGAAGAATGCCAAGAGAGAAGATGGAATTTTCAAAGGTCCCACGGGCTACATTCATACCATCACATTAATTTGAGGTTTGAGTTTGCACTTAGACACTCCAGGCTGGCTGCCTACTGTCCTACACTTTCACTTCAGTCTGGGATGAGACTGCTGAGTTCTTGGGCAGCAGCGTTGGCACGGTGAGGGATGTGCTGGCTTACAACAAGCCTCTCTTCAAGAAGTGCTGTACATACAACTAGCTCAGCCCTGGGTGCAGAAAACTGAAAACTGCAGAACCCAGCCAGGCACAGCTAGCTAAGATTTATGGAAATTGCCCAAGTAATTAGGAGCACAGGTTCACCTTTGCAAAGGGGTATGTGTTCCCTAATCACTTTGGTGATCTCCCCTCCCCCAAAAATAGAAGGAAGAAAGAAGTAGATCTCTGCAGAGAAGACAGATAGATGTAAGGATGTTGGGCTGGAAAGGTGAGCTAGGAAAGAAACAGAGTTAAAGGCATTAAAGAGGGGTTGGAAGAGAAATACATTTGAAGAAAAGATAGGGTTTGCTATAGGAAAAAATGTAGGCAAGAAAGAGGACGAAGTGGAGAGATTTTTTTAAGAGATGAAGGAAACAAGATTCAGATAATGCACTGAAGATGTAGTCATGCTAAGCATACAGAGCATGGTGATGAATGGTTAGATAGCAGAATAAAATCTTCTGTGTAGACTTACATAGTATCCTGTTTGTGAGAAGTGAACTTGAGCAATTGTTCGCAGGGATTTTTAGAAAGAGAATGATAATTGAACAAAAAAATGTCTAATTCAAAATTACTATGCAGTAAGTGGAAATTGCATCAATGTATAAAAATGAAGAAATCATCCAGGATTATCACAATGTCTTCTTTCTGCCTGTTTTGCAGCCCTCCCCTTTTCAGTTCTCATTCCAAAATTAAGTATAAGGTCAATCTTTTTTCTCTTAGCAATTGCATCAGCCATAGGCACGTATCACATGGTAAATGAAAAAGCATGAATAATTCAGAACAAAATTTTGAATCATTTAAAAAGCAGAAACTTCATATTTCATTGCTAACCTATTCCCACATAACATAAAATCTACAAAAATCACATTGCAATTTCTGGAACAAAAACATTACAAGTATTTGAAAATATTCTTGCATGCATGTCATTTTGTCCAAAGAATATTTCAATCTCAGAGTTTGCCAAAGCTGTTTCACTATTCATGAGAAAAACCCCAGAAGATAATTAAATACTGGGTATGTGCTGCCTGAACATGAAATACTATACATATTCCCAAAATTTTTGTGGCCATATTAATGTGATCTCCTTTGCCTCCAAGGTGGATAGAAAATGTAACATTTAGTTAACCTAAACTGCCTGTATTAGGGAATTAACACAATCTTGTGATATATATATTTATATATACATGTCACCATCATCGCTTGTTAGTGTGGATTTTGGGCTCCTGTAATACCAGCACAACTAGAAAACAGCCTTTGACTATGCCTAAGCCAAAAAGCTTAGCAACAAAAACACAAAGCAAAAAGCCAATGCAATACAGAGATTATTTTTTCTAGTGATAAGAGCATGAGGATGGAGTGAGGAGTTAGACAACTTGTTCCCCAGTTTAGTCACTGATTCAATGGGGCTTTTCAAGAGGAGCTTTATTCTCTCCTCACCGAAGGTTCGTGCCTCATTTTCCTTATCTTTGAAGCAGTAGCAAGACTGAACCACTTTCCAGATGAGGTTGGGTGTGACCAAACTCTTGGTCACAATTTTGACACAGCATTTGTAAAGCATACTGAGACCCTCCAGCAAGAAATTGCTACAGAGAAGACAACTGTGATGCTGATCACCTCCCATGCATTGTGATTAATGAGTCTCTGGCAGTTGTTCACAGCAGTGAAGCTGCTGGTTATCATGGCATTAATATGCGTTTGCATTGCTCTGACCCACAGTATTAGGACCCGCATTCCACAGGGGTTATCAGGGCTGTGCCCTACGGGGATGGTTGGGGTATCCTACCATTCCGTTCCTGCCCTGTTGATCTCTTCCCACCAGCACTCTGTCGGCTCACCAAGGCTCTGGGATGCTGGCATGCAGGCATAGTTCCACAGTCTGTCAGAGCCTTCCTTCTTGTTGAAAACACTTCTGACAGCCACAATCACCTGCCCGTGTGGGCACTGGAAGTTGAAACCCTGACGGTACACATTGACCCATTCATCATTATCTCCATAATTATAGGGACCATAGTAATAGTCACCGTACTGGCCCCATGCCACAGTCACCAGAGGCAGGAACACACAGAGAAGGACAAGGTCCATCCTGAAGATGTTCCTGGCTTAGAAATGCCCCGCTGGTTTGTTGGGCTGGCCCTTTTATATTGCCTCTAACATTTGGCTTCCAGATGTTACGTTTCCAGATCCAAGTGCAATGTGTCATTGCTTAGCAAACCTTCTCTGACTTACAGAGACATCCAATTACTTTTAAGGTGGAATTCTGCAAGTACAGTAAGCCTGCAGTCCCTAGGAGCAGGGTCTTCCCACCACCACAAACCATCTGTGATCCTTTACTGCAGAGCTACTGTATAGAGCAAGCTACATATTGTAGTACAACTGTCACAGTCATTCCACTTTTATCCTCAAGGCTGCAGTTAAGTTTGAAAACTCCTTTATTTGAAATTAAAGCTCTAGCTGAAGCTGCCATTTTCCATCATCAGTAACATGCAACCAAATGTGATTGTGTATGTATGTCACCACTCTCTTTTCCCTAAATTCTGTGTGATATGATTCTGCCAGTGCTTAGGAAGAAGGGATTTGGGCAAGGTGAGGGAATTCACTGCTCCTGTTGTAAAAACTCCTTTAGAAATTTTGGGTTGATTTGGTTTGAAGGGAGGTGGAGCCCAAATGACTGAGACTCTGTCTTGGCACAGAAGCAGCCCACCCTGGGAAATAGGGCATTGGCTTCTTCCATGCAGAACTGATTTTGGTATGACAGTGTGTGAGCTCTGTGAAACTGTGGACTCAACAGATGTTTTAATTTGAGGATAAAGCACATAAGCAAGTTACAATGAGATAAGCTTCATGTGTGACCATAGGCTACTGAAATCTTTGAGCAAGGCCCTTTAAGGTACCTTGATTTTATCATGGGCTAGAAACATGAGGCTGCTGCTGACGAACTGCTGTGCTGCAAATTTAAAACCTGACATGCCACCTGTAGTGTGTTTATCTGTTGACATCCTCAGGTAATTTCTTTACCAGGAACCCACTCTATGCAGGAAAATTTGGAACAGTGTTCTTTATTTAACTGTGTACCTTACCCATAGAAAACTCTGGGACTTAAGCATACTTTAATATGTGAGACAGTCCAAAGTAAATCTAACATAGTCTAAATAGGCATATGTTGCCTATGTTGCATTACTAGTGAAATGTGTGACACTTGGAACAGCTCCAGATTCAGATTCTCTCTCTTGAGTGAAGTCACTGCAAAGGATCCAGAGACTATTTCTTGGTGCAAGTTTCTCCTCCACTATTTTCACTACCTTTCTTCTCTATTTGGACCATGCAAGTGTATGAGCTTTTATTCTGTTGCTGGTACTGTCAGAAAGAAGATCTGTGATGAGTAACAGTAGACTTGCTCTTCTCTAGGGATTTCCAAACTTATCGTGCCTGGTCAATGCTTTGCAGGAGCACCCCAGAAGGCAGGTGCCTTTACTAACAAAACTTTGGATCTTAAAAGCTGCCTTCAGCCTCATCAGCCAGATTCAGCCTCGTCAACAATTTGTGCCTCTATCTAACGGCTTTTCTTATAGCAGACCCTTGTTTGACAAAACTGTAGATGGTGTCTGAGCTTTTTTCCAGAAGGACAGTGCAACAATATCTCAGTTGTCCATGCTCATAGCCAGTGCAGATCCATATGCACCTGGCAGGTGAGGGTTGCTGATGCAGCTCAGTGCCTCACCTACAGCTGTACCAGCCCCAGATGCCTGGAGTAGGGGACAATGGAGACAGCAAGAGAAGAGCCCTTTCCTTGGAGCAGCCCTCCTCTAGATCTTAAGTAACAGTAGGGGACACAGGTATTCAAAGTCTAAAGAGAGTGGAAATTTTAGATTAAAAATCTGATGGGCATCAGAGTGCATGAACTGCACAATCTCACATGGGTTTTTCAGCTAACTCAATATTGTATGTTTTTTCCTTTCTTGCTTCCTGAGACACGTAGTCACAGCTGGGAGCACTGCACATTGCTGTGTATGCCTGAGAGGCATTCTGGAAAGAAGTTTTAGCAGGAAGCACCACATTATCATATGTATATGATCCTCACCTCACATAACCCTTTATAAGCACCATTCCATGGAAGAAAGTTCTTACATAGCACACAAAATTATGGGCAAGAGGGGATGAGAAGAGGGAGGAGGGTCCTATGGAGAGTAGGCACAGTTTTCTTTTGCCTACCTTTGACACATATATAAGCTTCAAGGTGTCTGTTGTCACATCTTACATACATTCTACCATGCCTGATCCCCATTAGTGGATAGAATGGTACTTCCATGCTGTAATGTGATCAAGAAGTGGCTTAGCTGGGAAAAAAAATCTGTGCAGGGAAGATAGTGAACACAGCAGATGTGCAACAACAACTCCCTGTAACAGTTATGGCAGTGTAGATGTGTCCTGACCAGGGACTGACTGAAAATCTACAGTTCTGTGTTTCTGGATCCAGTGCTTTCTGGGAACTTTTGATACTAAATTTCATGTTTCTTTCTGATGCTGAACAAAACTAGAAGAGAGCAGAATTTCTTACAGGATGGACATGATGGTTTTTAGTCACCTTGAAGAAGGGTGGTATTTCTAAGTGGAACAAACTGTGATTTGAAAATTCCCATAGGGGCTAAAAAAGAGAATAGTGTGTATATGTGAATTTTGTTTCTGAGTAATGTTCATCAGTCTCTGCTGTTCACAGCTGCTTGGTTCATGGAGCAAAGATAAGGCTACATGAGACTTGTTTCACTAACATTTCACACCATTGCTCCTACCCAGATAACTCCACTTATGTTGCCAGTGCTGAGAGTTGCAATTTTATCTGTGTTTCCATTGACTCACTGGTATGTTGACCACTGTGCCTTATTCTGTTCTGGCCACTGAATCAAACATAACAGTTCAAAAGCCAGTGGCTAGAAGAGCTGCAAACTAGTCTGTAGCTTGGTGACTTTGGTTGGCTTCAGCTATAGTTTGCACTATGAGAAAACATTGATATTTAAAAATCCGTCCCTCTCTGAAATTACTTATCCTTTAATTTGTCTTTAGACATCAGCTGCATGCCTTACACATCCACCCTTTGGAAATACAGAAAGTGTCAATGAAGTAGTAAATATGAGATTCTAAGACCTACCTTTCATTATCAGTTCCTTGCCATGGAGCCTGTATTGGCTGGTAATTTTATTCCCCATCAGTTCTTGAAATGCTGCATTTAATCCACACAAACCAGCATTTAATTTTGGTCTTGAGGTGTGACAAAAGAAATTGTTTATCATAGAATCATCATAGAATCATAGAATTTAAGGGTTGGAATGGACTTGACTTTTCCACTTATGTTGCCAGTGCTGAGAGTTGCAATTTTATCTGTGTTTCCATTGACTCACTGGTATGTTGACCACTGTGCCTTATTCTGTTCTGGCCACTGAATCAAACATAACAGTTCAAAAGCCAGTGGCTAGAAGAGCTGCAAACTAGTCTGTAGCTTGGTGACTTTGGTTGGCTTCAGCTATAGTTTGCACTATGAGAAAACATTGATATTTAAAAATCCGTCCCTCTCTGAAATTACTTATCCTTTAATTTGTCTTTAGACATCAGCTGCATGCCTTACACATCCACCCTTTGGAAATACAGAAAGTGTCAATGAAGTAGTAAATATGAGATTCTAAGACCTACCTTTCATTATCAGTTCCTTGCCATGGAGCCTGTATTGGCTGGTAATTTTATTCCCCATCAGTTCTTGAAATGCTGCATTTAATCCACACAAACCAGCATTTAATTTTGGTCTTGAGGTGTGACAAAAGAAATTGTTTATCATAGAATCATCATAGAATCATAGAATTTAAGGGTTGGAATGGACTTTACAGATCATCTAGTCCCAACCCTCCCTGCCATGAGCAGGGACACCTCCTCACTAGATCAGGTTGCTCAAGGCCTCACCCAGCCTGGCCTTGAACACCTCTGGGATCGGGGCAGCCACCACATCCCCAGGCAACATGTTCCAATGTTTCACCATCCTTATAGTAAAAAGCTTTTTTCTAATATCTAACCTAAACTTTCCCTCCTTCAGTCTGAATCCATTACCCCTTGTCCTATCACTGCAGTTCCTAATACTCCAGTCCTCTTATCAACTACGTGGCCCTCCTCTGGACTTGCTCCAACAGTCCTTCTTATGTTAAGGACACCAGAACTGCACATAGTATTCCAGGTGGGTCTCATGAGAGCAGAGTAGAGGGGAAGAATCACCTCTTTTGACCTGCTGCCCACACTCGTTTTAATGCAGCCCAGGATACAATTATTCTTATCACCCTTCCGTCCCTGGCCAAACTTTGGGAGTTAGCTCTGCTTTGAGCACAGTTTGTTCTAGGGGCCTTAAGAGTCCTTTACAACTTGAATTATTCTGTGTTTCTCTCCT